AACACTATAACAACGAATGTTAACTTCAACAATACTTTCTGACTGCAGTTCAATTACTCATTACCTACACACATTGTCACGTCACGCCGTGACCATCTTATATACCAGACCACCCCCAATCTAGCAAATGCTAGAGCACTCCCGAAGGAACAGGATATTTCTAGAAAGCAGGTGGCGTGACACTAGTCACGTGACCTCACTGACGCAACAATATTACTCCTAACGTTTCAGAAGCGAATAACGTTAATATTTTGCTATAGTTTTTTGTTGTAGGTCAGGTATTTAGTGTTGATATGATGTTTTAGTTTGTTTTTTGAAGGTCACATTTTTGGATTTAATATTCTCTTTTGGTTTGGTTTGTTGAAGGTCAAATACTTAGTGTTAATATTCTGTTATGGTTTTTGTTGAAGGTCAGATCGTTATTGTTAATATTCTGTTATGGTTTTCATTGAAGGTCAAATCTTTTGCATTAATATTCTGCTATGGTTTTTGTTGTAAGGTCAAATATTTAGTGTTAATATTCTTTTATGTTTTTTGTTGAAGGTTAAATTTATAGTGTTAATACTCTGTTTTGGTTTGTTCAAAGTGAAATCTTTAACGTTAATATACTGTTATGGTTTGTTTTCTTTGAAGGTCAAATACTGTGTGTTAATATTCTGTTATGGTTATTGTTGAAGGTCACATCTTTATTGTTCACATTCTGTTATCGTTTGTTTTTTAAGGTCAAATCGTTAGCATTAATATTCTGTTATGATTTTTGTTTTAAGGTCAAATCGTTAGCATTAATATTCTGTTATGGTTTTTGTTGAAGGCTAAATCTTTAGTGTCAATACACTATGATTTGTTTTGTTGAAGGTCAAATCTTGTATGTTACTATCCTGTTATGATTTTTATTGAAGGTCAAATCTTTAATATCAATATTCTGATATGGTTTTTGTTGAAGGTCAAATCTTTAATGTTAGTATTCTGTTAGAGTTTTTGTTGAAGGTCAAATCTATATTCTTAATATTCTGTTTTGGTTCTTTTGTTTAAAGTCAAATATTTAGCGCTAATATTCTGTTTTGG